ATTAGGGCCCGTAGAGAGAGAATCAGAGAAGCGTGAGATAAGGGGATGGAAAAGCGGGTGGATATGTAGCGGATGCAAAGTTCGATTGATTGTTGACCTATGACGCGGGTCATAGATGGTAGAAGGAGGAGAAGAACAGGTAGAGTAAGGAGAGGTCGGCTAGTGGTGTAGAAATCAGATAGACGGCGGGTTATGGTCAATTTCCGTTTTGGCTTCAAGGGCTCGTTGAAATCGGATGATGAATCGCTTATGTATTCCGAAGATGAATCGTCTGGAATCAATGTGGAACTTGTTGTTTGGGACGTGTGAAGGTGGAGTGTTTCGGGTACAAAAGTGATGAGACATAATAATCCTGATGTCAAAACAAATACTCCGCAGCATATTGAGATCCATGGAGAATAGACCATAATTGCGGCTGCTACAGTCGGTGCAATAAGTTCTGCAGAGAGTGAGGCACATGCGGCGAAAAGAAAAGCATTTGCCCTGTCATTTATCAGTGATAAGGACTAAAAGCGTGATATATTTTGGATCAATACCTTTCATCTTGAGTAGTAACATCTGAGATGATTGCATAAAATATTGCGGAAGCGGTTTTTTCACCGCCACCAATGAACTGTAAAAATGGTGCAAACCACACAGCACGGATGGGTAGCATCATCCACTCGCTCATAATGAATACTTCAAATAAGAGGGAGAGGAGGAGACCAAGGATTGACAAAGCAAAGACTGGTTTGCGTCCAATTCTATTTGTATGTCAGATAAATTCCTCTAGAACGAAAGATCAAAAAACAAAAAAATTCAATAGCAAAAAATGACTATGTAAATTTACAGGAATAAAAAATTCGTACTTATCAGCCAAGAGTCCATATGGAACAGCCATAAACATTCCTACATATCATCAACACCACTCTCCAGTTTTTCTTTTACGGGTATTCGCCCTACCTGGTAACGCTTTTAATGTCTCCAGAACCGCAGTCAGAATGTTCAATTCTTCTTGAACCTTATCGCCCTTGCACCTAGCTTCATCAATTGTGCTACTCAGCCCTACCCCACTTTGTCCCTGTAGTTCTTCATAATAACGATGACACAATATATCCTCATATATACGCATCGATGGTATCCAAACCAAATATGTTCCGAACCCAATTATAAAAACTATCGTGGTAAGAAGTAAGACAATAATCCGCGAAGAATGCGTTTGGTGAATCAAAGAGTGTGCGCCAACGGTAGTTGGTCGTGAGTAATCAAGGAGAGGAGATTCCTCGTCAAATGTACCATCGCATGAGGATCGTGATTTTGTTTTCGATAAAGACATTTTCGCAGATGAATTGAAATATTGCGCCGGCGCATAAAATATTCAAAAAGAATAGGAATAATTGAGTAGAGAGAGAAACGGAAAATGAGGAATGAGAAATATAGTACAAAGGAGATATAAGCAGAAATATACTTTACATGTTTTCTAACTTTGGGAAACAACAATCAATGTGTTTTCGCAAAGGAATGTCTGATGTCAGAGCGGTACGGCTTCCAGTAATCACTGTCCCTCGAAATAGAAGCAACTGACCTTACTCGTCGCATGCACGGTGAGATTTACACCAGATGAATCGTACATAAATAATTCGACGTGTTCGTTCTTGATTGTATCTTAAGAGAATCAAGACATTGAGGTCGTACAGAATGAGTGGTGGATAAAAAATGCTGGGTTTAGACACTAGAGTGCGTAAAGCGAGAAGATGAAGGGGTTGCAAGAGATCGTACCTGATGATGACGCGTGGTGCATGGTGCAATTCACGCGCTGACATGCAGGCACAAATTCCATCTTATCATCGCGAAATTAGCAAATGAGAAGTCCTTTAGATAAAGGAAAGATGCGAGATTCAAACACCCATCTTTGAAAATTTCGATATTGCCAAATAAGGAAATTTAAAACATTGGACATATTATTTACCAGGTGATTCTCCTTCTTTCCAGTACTCTCGTCTCTCTGTTGCTATCTGCTGACGCATCTTCATGCCGTACACCATTGCATTCCAAGGATCTCGCAATGAAATCGATGTAGTGATCTCCAACTCATCCCAATACTTCGGATACCCACAGCTTCATCGTACGACTTCTCTAAATCGAAACAGCATTCAAAGTTTAGAATAATTTCGATACTTTTCAATGACACAACGATCTCCAAGTCCTAACTTAGCAGCTGATATCCAAAATAGCCGACAGACTTCTGTGGCACAATTGAATTTTTTCTGGAGCATCAACTTTAAACAAATGTGGCTTCTCGATACTTCCCACTGATATACAGATCTTCCACTCTCGTCCTCATCTGTCCATATCAATCGACGTATATCTGTGGCACAATTGAGTTTGTCCCAGAGCGTCGAATACAGGAAACTTTGGTTTCTCCAAAGTTCGAACCGAACCGAGCATGTATCTCTCATGTACAGAGAGTGTGTTTGTTCTCTTGAGCTCCAATATTAATTGGCTATAGAACGAAGTGGTTGAAGTCTCGAAGCAGCCATTTGTCTTGGGTACATGGTGTACAATGATTGGCTGTCCATGAAATCATGTTCTAGTGGACATAATTTGACCACCACATTTCATGATCTGAACTTTGATATGCATTTTTTGTCAACGTAAGGCGTGTAGATAGACTCATATCGACTAAGATTACATAATCTTTTTATCTGAATATGTTTTCCGGGGCTGATCTGCGGGCCTTGAACCTACGCACCTTTTTGATATGCATTCTAAATACATCAGCCAATGATAAATCAGCTGGCACTCTCTAGGAATCCGGGCGACTTGGGTTAGGTAAAGTCCGATTTACTTGGAAGTCTATTTCTATGCGTTCATACTATTGTCTGTGCGGTACCAATTTCTGATCTGGTTCGCCCCGGATTGTTCAGTTGTACACCCAGAATTAAGAATGATATGATTCTTTGGGAGAAACACGATCCAGTCAAATTTCGTTGTCTAGGAATGAATTGACCATTCCATATATGGATATATGAAGCGGAATCGGCTATCGTGATTGACAGAACGCTTATATGTTAGTCGAGTCTAAAAGATGTCATTGACAATCTGACACCTGTGAAGGGTATCTTTCTACCACATGGTATACCAGCGTAGTGGGTGTAAAAATATGGCCCAAGTTTCTAGGGAGAGTCGTCTCACATCAGAAACAAGGCATGGCTTTTCCACCTCGTTTTTGACATTTACTTCGCAGGCCGTTTTCTCAAATTGCCCAGTGAATGGCATCTCGTATCTGCGTGGTAGTGGATGCCAGCATCCACGAAATTAAGGTTGCAAGAAGCTATGACTGTTATACAGCGATACTATGTCTTAGGTACATATTGGCACTTCCGATTTGAAATCTCCGTTAAGGTTTTTATCACGTTGAAGCCACCAAAGCCCTGGGTCATCGGCTAAAACATGAGCGAAATCTAAGAACCATTGCTCTGGATCATTGCACACATTCTCTGCAGCGGGAGACCTGCTGTAATCTAATGATCTTCCGCAGACATCTTTTTTTTTACCTCGAAGAAACTTTAACTCCGTAGTTCTTGATGTCAAATTCCACAGAGGAATGATTTTTACGTACCTTCTTCGCGTGGCACACAATAGTAATGTTCAAACTTACATGAAGTTATTCAGCCCGTCCTGCAGTCAAAACTGGCAGCGATAGCTCAAAGCTTCCTTGTTAAGTGCGGTACATATCTGCATCTATTGATTTGCTCAAGTCCACTTGGCGGAGAAGACCCACCTGACTCTCAGTTCGGAAAATCTCCAGAAATCGTTGGAGTTCCACAAGTCTGTTTCCCGTGATGAACAATCATAGCAGTTACCGGTGGGTAGGAACGAAAGAAAACTCCTCTCCCAGGTAACATACCAAGATCCAAAGATTATCGTGGCGAACAGGTGTCTTAAGCATATTACGAAAATGAAAATTTGCCGTACATATTCACATGCTCGTCATGCTCTCGGAGTTTTAGTATTGTTATTCGCTTGTTCCTGGTACCTGATCATCGTACATACATTGCCGTCCCTATGTTTTCTGAAGGCATGGACCGAGTGTTATTAGTTCTAAACTATTTCGAGCTTAATCTTCCTGAACAAGGTTTTGTGTTTGTGAACCTGAGGATTCCATTTCCGGACTTCCTAGTGGCTTGGCCGAATATCATCAGACTATTCTGATCTGATCCTGCTAACTAGAATTGTGTATCTGTAAGCCTAGGAATTCCATTTCCGGACGGATGCTGCTTTCCATGCGAGACTCTTCCCAGGTTGATCGGATCGCTACACACTCGTAACTCTAATCGTAGCCACCAGTAAAAGTTCCGATTCGAAAGTAAGAAATCGACCAACTGTTACGCACGACCAGAAAACCTTCGATCAACCTCAATTGGAATTTGGCAGCTCTTCAAATTTCTCTGTGAGCTATTTACCGGTTCTACGGATTTTTCGATTATTCTATCATCTTGAGGTTAGCATTCTCCGAGAGATGTAGTGCAATAGTAGTGTCTTTGCAATTGACGATATGTCGAAAGACTAGTGCCACAACAGTCAATGGATCTTCATTCAAGTGGAATGAAAGCAATTATACTTCATGTGGCTTGAGATATGTAGGACATTACACCAGATGTACAAGGAATCAGCTCTATGAGTTTCTCAATGCTCCTGATGGGGGTCACTCCCGAGTTCATCTTGCATCTCTGAAGGCTGGGCATATGGTATCTGAAGTCATCTTCAACCCCTCATTCTATTGAATGTGGCGCTTCTTCTGCAGCTAGATGTACAGTCTCCGCTTGATCTTGAAGTCCTTGGTTCGAGTCAAGCCCATCAGACTGATATGGACCCATATCAAATTCTCGTTCTCTACGTGATGAAGAAGTACAAGAATCAGCATTCTTTCCACTTCAAATCTATATCATCTACACCATCAACATTTTCTCAATCATCTTACATTCACACCTCAAACGAAAATTTGCTTAACAATCAAAATGCGTCCCGTTATCATCACTTCAGCATTTGCAGCTTTGGCCTTTGCCAATCCACTTCCCCAAGTCATTGATTTGGGTGCCATTGATGATCTTCCACCAGCTGAAGTGTATATTGCTCCAGTAGATATCCCTTCCCAAGATGTCGTGACTAAGCCAGCTGTCGATGCCACTAACGAAGCAGCCGGCGCAGTGAATAATGTTGCTGTTCGAGATATTCCAGCTATTCCAGCCATCCCAGCTGTTCCAGATATTCCAGCTATCCCAGATACTCCAGCTATTCCAGCTATCCCAGATACTCCAGCTATTCCAGCTGTTCCAGCTATTCCAGATGTATTCGCTAAAAAGCGTGATCTTACCAAACGCGATTGCGAGCAACAACCAGCCGGCTATGGGCCAAACTCCAAGTAAGTTCCCAGCACATAGAAACATTAAAGCTAAACTCATACTGACAATTTTAAAGACCAGATACCGCCGATGCTTTTTTAGCCGATCCTCAATACAACAAGATCGCCTCTAAAGCTCCCACTCCACAAGGTTACACCCTTGCTTTCTCTGAGCTCAAAGGCTCCACCCAGACCACCTCGTATCTTGGTTATAAGACTTTAAAATCCTACGACACTGTCGAGTGTGCTCAATACTGTGATCAACAAGACGGCTGCATTGCCTTCAATATCTACTTTGAGCGTGATCCCACTGTTGATCCTGGCTACAAGTGCTCCAATCCACCTTCCACCGTTAACTACAAGTGTGTAAAGTGGGGTGTCCAAATCAAGAAGGAGACTGCTACCAATACCGGCCAATACAGAAGTAAGCTTCTCTTCCTCTATGTTTAAAGCAATCGCATTACGTGATATACTAACAACCCCTCAGAGGACTTCCGTGTCGTCATTTCCGGATCCAATGGATACAACAAAAAGTACTCCCCAGCGCCTTGTGATAAATACAATGGCCCAGTCTCTCTCGGAGGAGCCATGCAGGCCCCTCTTGATCCAGTCACCAAGACTGATACATACATGGGCTACAAATTTTTCTCCTTTGACGATGTCAAAACCTACGAGTACGGAGTCGTTGCCTGTACATCCGCCTGCACAACGCAATCCAAATACAATCTTGAGCATCCTCCTTCCTCTGGCCACCCAGCCATCTGCAATCAAGTCGTCGTCTACGTGTTGAGTCAAAGCAACAAGCCTCAAGGAATCTACTGCTCCATGTATACCGAAGTCTGGGCTTCCAACCACGCAACTAATTACGGCCAATGGAGAGGATCCGAGTACTGGTCAGTTAGCCAAGCGTACTCCTACAGCAGAGCAGACTATGATGCCAAATACCCAAAGGCCATCTGTGATGTTGGAGGATGCCCAGCGGATTGCTACAAGGGCGGTAACTGGGGCGGATGGGGGTCCGAGAAGAAATGTAAGTCCAAGAGATCAAAGGCTGTGACTCTGTGATCAATGACTAATCTGTGGGGATATAGAAATCATACGAGTTTTTTTCTTTCGAATGGATTCACTCTAACTTATGATTTCGATGATGGATATGACGGATGGAGGCTTTTTGATTTTTAGTTCATATTTATTTCTCTTACACCACACTCCTTAATGATTTAATGAAGGCTACGGATGAGAGCTTGGAAGGGATAGGAGGATGTGGTCTTTTAATTGGTTCATTGTACCTAGGCTCTCATTTCTTATAATAACGGAAAAAACTTACATGTTTTCCATAGTATTTTGCTCCTCATCGTAATTTCATTTTTGCTCACCACCATGTCCATGGACTTCGTCTCTTTACCTACCATTTCAGTACCCATCTATTCCTAGCTAAATTTTCAACTCTTCATCTTGACTTTTGGACAGTGATCAAGATTTTCCTCAGGGCCATTTTTTATCCCACATCAAACACCTACACCCTTTACATCTATACATCACACCTTACACCCTACGCCCTATATCCTACATTCTGCTACACCCTTGCATATACCACAATACTCTCCACAAACTTCTCTTTGCCTTCCCTTCCCATCTCTTTTTATCTCTTTACATCTCTTTCCCTTCTCCTCCATCATCAATAACCCTCTCCTCATCTTCCATTTCCTCATTTTCCCGTTGCCCAAACTCCTCCTCACAATTACCATTCTAATATCGCTCCATTTACTCTCCTTCCCTACTCCAACTTGGAAAATTCTTCTAAAAACACCAATCTATTCCTTCTACCCTCTCAATCTAAAACAGATTCCACACACCCCACACTTCACTCATCTCATCTCATCTCATATAATTTTCTTTTTGTTACCAACTCTAAATTCCCGTTCCCATTCCCCTCCAAACACATCTACTGATATCCAGATATCTATCTCTGTATTCTCACATCCCACATCCTTCTCTCCCAGCTCATATACCACCGCTCCAACCATAATTCATAATTCACCACACTACACCTCTTCGCTTCGCACTCACCACTCCATTCTCATTCGCTTTCCACTCTCCCTTTCAATATAATCCAGAAGTCCCAATGATGAATAAACAAAAAAGTCTCAGTAGTGGTACCCTCATAGATCTCACCTCGAATCATACAGTACGCGCTCTACATAAATAATACACCCTAATCGTATAAGACATTCCCCTACCGGGTTCCCTCTCCAATACCATGTCATTCCTATATCACACTCTAACAAAACCCAAGTGAATAATCCATTCGATTATCAAAAAATAATACACGCACTTTTATACATCCTGAAATCAATCTATGATATGACCCGATCCAGCAATATTTTATATACAAATCAGTATCTCTTTTTTCCCACCACCTTATCTCCCCACTCCTCCCATCGCCTCGCCAGTTAAGAGATAGGTACCTACCTACTCTGTCATTCCATTCCCTCTAATCTCTCACTTCGTTTAATATCTTTCTTTCCACCCCCCTTACAGTCCGCTAGTGGCCACATTTCCTCTCTAATCGCCTACTCCCCGAATCGTCTCATACACTCTCTAATACTCACTCTCTAATCTTTCTTATTTCCCACATCTTCTCCTCAACAAGAAAAAAACCACAAAAAACCCCCCTTACAACCCAAAACACACAGCTCTTATCCTATAACCATAAACCTCATTTCACCATTTAGACTTACAAATCTTAAAATTTACTCACACATACACATACACATACACATACATACACATACAAAACTCCAACATATATTTCCTACCTCTCCCTCTTTTCCACTCCTCTCTCCTTCTCACCCTTCTCCCTCCTGTTTTCCTTCTTTCCATTCTCCCCTTTTATTTTGCTATCCTTCCTACCTCTCATATCCTCTTCCCTCCCTTCTTTCCTCCATTTTCCTTCTCTTTCCCACCCTCACCCCAATCCCCCCACAACTCTTCATCACCTCACCAGAAGATACATACATACATACATATGCACGCCAAAAGCTAAGTAGACCAAATTTTCGCATACTCATAATATCATATCATATACTTCCTAAACGATGCTTACTAAACTATCCTATCCGTAGACAGGGTTCTCCGCTCCAGAAAATGCATTGTAACGAAAACAAACAGACTTATTATTTACACCAACCCATGCATGCACGTACGCACCAACCATCTAGATCGATATATGGTCTACCCACCTCCTCCACACGCATGCGATCATCATCCACCAACAAACATCTATTAGTCCCGTGATGTAAATCTTAACTCATAAAATCGCTCTCTACAATTTCTCCTTCAAAAGCCCCTTCATCCTTCTCTCAACAGCCTCCAAATATTCTCCAGTGGTAACATAATCTCCCTTTCCGGTGTTTCCACAGGCCAATGCCAAATCCTTGGTCATAATGCCCTCCTTATCAACAACATCCACACAAGCTTGTTCCAAACTCTCTGCAAAAGCCACAACTTCTGGGGTATTATCCAAGTTACCTCTTTGAATCAAACCTCTTGTCCAGGCAAAGATTGATGCAATAGGGTTGGTGGATGTAGGGTTACCCTTTTGATGTTCCCGGTAATGACGAGTGACGGTTCCATGCGCGGCTTCGGATTCGAAGGTCTTTCCATCGGGGGTGATGAGAACTGAGGTCATGAGACCGAGGGAACCAAATCCTTGAGCTACAATGTCGGATTGAACATCTCCGTCGTAGTCTGTTTGAAGTTAGTTTATTCCGTGTGGAAACGTAAATCAGGGGAAGAGGGAAAAACATACTCTTCAAAGCCATAACATAACCACCTGAACTCTTCATCATCTGTGCGACCATATCATCGATCAATCGATGTTCATACCAGATATTCTTCTCCTCAAATTGAGTCTTATATTCTTTTTGGAAAATCTCCTCAAAGATATCCTTAAATCTACCATCATACTTCTTCAAAATTGTGTTCTTGGTGCTCATATACAAAGGTAATCCCTTGTTGAGAGCCATCTTAAAACTGGCATGAGCAAATCCGCTAATGGATTCATCTGTATTGTATTGGGTTTGGGCAACTCCTCCTCCTGATTTAAAATCATAAACGACTGTTTCGGCTGGCTCGCCACCCTTGGGAGTGAATGTCATGGTGAGAGTTCCTGGACCTGGAACAACCATATCTTTGGCGCGGTATTGATCTCCAAATGCATGACGACCGATGATGATTGGCTTCTTCCAACCAGGAACGAGACGTGGAATACGTGGAATAACGATAGGTTCGCGGAAGACGGTTCCTCCTAGATGATTACGGATCGTACCGTTTGGTGAAAGCCACACTGTTCAAATACTTATTAGCTTCTTTTCTAGCTTCCCATTTTCGCAGAAATATGCAGTTTTTATTTATTTACAGAAAAACAAAACTTACTCTGCTTCAAGTTGAATTCTTTGACTCTAGCTTCATCCGGGGTAATAGTAGCACACTTAACACCAACAGAATACTTCTTGATAGCTTCTGCCGCATCAATGGTAACCTGATCATTGGTCTGATCTCTATACTCCAAACCCAAATCATAATATTTCAGATCAACATCCAAATAAGGATGAATGAATTTATCCTTAATATCCTTCCAGATAATGCGTGTCATTTCATCACCATCCAATTCGACAATTGGGTTCTTGACCTTAATTTTTTGGAAAGAAGTTGCGGATGCCATGTTGCGCGATTGTGTAATGGCGCTGCCAAATCGTGGGGTGAAGATTGAGGTTCGAGGTGCGCTGCGAAGAAGTGAAGAGGTAATGCTGCGGTGGAGAGACATTTTCGCAGAGGTGCAGACAAGGCTTCTTGATAAAGAATTGGACGGCTACTCTGCTTGGTCGATCGGACGTTTGAATATTCCAAGCTGCAATGCGCTTGCTTGTACCGAGGACCAGTGAGGAACGTGGGGGATTTCTTAACCGCGGGGAAGGAGAGGATGTCTCGGAGGGAGGGAATGAAGGAGGAATTGAAAACTCGAGGGAGATATCTTCGGGTCAATTCTAGGTGGTATATTTCGCAGGTGTGTATATGTATGTATGTGTATAGAAAATCTAGAATAACTTTAAATAAAGACGGGAAGGAGGGGAAGAAAGGAAGGAATTTTCCAAGCTCAAGCTTTCTGATCGATAACGGAGTCACATCTAAACAATGAATGACCAAACATCCACATTTTCAATACATAATGAATTTGGTACATCTTATTCAATTTAATCCATCCAAATCACACGTTAATCATTCTATTATCCCATTATTATCCAATCCATTGACTCCAATCTCCATCTTCCCCCAATTCATACTTCACTCCCGCTTTCACTCTACCCATGGAACCTCGTAAATACCTGCCTAGTAGTAACAGTCATCTAATTGACCGAACCCGGAAACCACAAAACAACAGAACGATTACATACAACACCACGCAGCCACTCACTCAATTCATCCATCATAGGCAAAATATCTCTCTTTTCCATACGTTCACCAAATCTAGAAAAATCCATCAGCTGTGCCCCGCCTACGAATCAAAAGCTCTATCCGACAACGGAGCTTTTCCATAACATTTTCCTCTGCAGCTACCCCCACATCGGTTGATTTAGCAGCGGCCAAATGGCGGATTGGCGATGCTGCATCAATTGCGAGGAGTCGTAGACAAGGGTTCAATTTACAAGGGCTGCTCGGAAATTGTTCCGGAAAAGATTGAGAGCTTCTTTATCACGTGGAATGTGCATGGGCTGAGATGGTATGGATGGAACCATCAACCCTTCAGATTTCAAGAATTCGAGGTCTAAGGACTTTTCTATCATAGACTATGCGGATGAGGTACAATATCAGGTGTAGACCTTATTTCGATGATCTCGTGGTCATCTTAACCTTCACTCGCAAGTACAACTAACAAGTAGCTACGCTTGACAGTAGAGGCATGCACATAATGCTCTCTTTGTAACTACTTGACCTCGATTCTACTCCCGTTTTACTCATACTCAATACCAATTCACGCATAGCTCACTCTGAAGATAATTTAGAAGATTTACCTTCTTCTTTTATAGCTCGTTATGTGACATCTCATAAAGGATAACAAAAGAAATAACTCTAATTATAGAACTTCTGATACTATTACAATTCTACATCCGCGACCGATTAACGACCCCTTTCCTCTCGCTAATACTTTCATCCCTTTTTCCTTTGACCAGCGCATCTTGATAATACAGATTCTCCTTGCACAAACCATCGATACATACATATCAATATCAAGTAGCCACAAGCATCCAAAATTAATTTATCATGAAAGTACCTAATCAGCATCATTCCTTTGCTTTTACTCATTCCTAAACTATCCTCTATAAATCTTTGGAGAAACGATAAGCCCTTGATCTCTCATTATTTTCCTTGCCCCCAGTATCTTACAAATGATGCATCTTTCCTTAAACCCTTTGCATTCAGAAGCGAACCAGATATCAATTCCTTGCCCCTAACTCCAAGAAAGTAATCCATCCGTTCATCATAAATGCTCCCTTTCCTTCCTATAAAATACAGTCTCAATATATCAAATTTCCCGAATTAGAACTGCAGTTCTTCAAGTTCTATACCTCCTTGAAGAGTAAAGTCGCAATGCCTTAAAGTACGTTCAGATGACCCGTGTTCAATTACACAAAGATCGTTTAATCGATTGGGCCAAAAGGATGCGGGGTTGGACCCGTGTCAACAGGCGATGAATTTTTTGCTCTTGATTTACTCTTTCTTGAGCTCGAGGAAGGAGTTGATTCGCCAGGTAGATCAGACTTCTTCTTTGATGGTCTTTGCCTTTTACTCTTATTGATTGGATTACCAGATTTGGGTGTATATCCACCATCATCTTCGGCATCTCGCTTTCGTTTGATTTTAGAGCTGTTCCCACTTAAAGTAGCATCATAGCCAATGCCATCCTCTTCGACAATTTCTAAGGAATCTTGACGAGCGGGCGCGGGAATGTGAATGCGTTTTCCTGCTCCACGTAGAGCACCAGGTTTGGTGTTTATCTTTTCAATAGGACCTTCACCATCTTGAAGGAATATCTTTGGTTCATGACGTCGGAGCCAATTGAGAACACTATGAGGATTTTTGAGTGTAACATCTTGTGCTGTAGGAGGATAGACGACGGTGGCCATGCCAGGGACTATATTGATTGACGCATCAACTTCGTGAAGGTATTTATCCAGTTCTTCCAGCGACATGTAACCAATTGGATGCTTCTTTCCAGGTTGAGGCTCGAAATCAGCCAATGATTCAAGAGAGACGTGAGGGTTCATCAAAGATACATGTGAAACGGTCGACATGAGTTTCGCAAGAGATTGGGTCGGTTTATCCGTGGTATTCGTGTCATCTCTGTCCTTCAATAAATCCTGGAGCTCTTTATAGAGGGCTTGACCTTCAGGCGATGTGTCTTCGGCAGCTCTCGCAAGCTCTTCTTTTGTGACTAAAGCAGGAATTTCTGCAAGAGCAGGTCCACTGAGGCTCAAATCGATGCGCTTATCGGCTGGTATTTGAGCTGAGTTGTTAATATCTAGTAGTAAATCCATGAGTCGACTGAGGATTGTTTTGTTAGCTATAATTCCTAGAAGCAAATTCGAATCTTCACTAACTCATTTTCGCGCGCCAACTTCTTTGCAGTCTCATCTGCCAACTGCTCCTCCATGAATAAATTATTACTTTGGCGCATCGCTTCATCGAACTTTACTCGCATCTTGCGATACTTCTTTCTGTATCCGCACATATTAGTTGATGATCGTGCTAAGCAGAGATGTAACTTGTGGGTGAGTTTATAATGTTGGGTTCGCAAGGTTGGGTTTGCAACAGCACAAGTGAGTATTTAAGTCATAGAGAATTGAGTACAGTCACAACCGTTGCCGACAGCTCTCCAAGTGAATCTCTCGGAAAGTATTGGAATGGAATTGAGGGAGCGACGTACCGAAACGACTTGTATGGCGGCGGTTTGACTTCATTGGGCGGACTGCTTTGAGCACCTTCCTCGTGCTCTGTAATATCCTCACCCAAGATTTCTTCATCGAGGGACGACGTCATATTCGACTATGTTATCCTCAAATAAGGAATCGTAGCGATTTCTTGATGGGATGATTGTCGATGAAATTGTTGTTGTTGTAACAAAATCAGGAAAAGGATCACCGTCGTCGCAGAACCGAGATTGATTATTGAATAAGAATGAAGCATATATTTAGAGCATCATCAGGCTGAGAGTTATTGAGATTAGTTCAGGGTGAAAATAGCCTGTGCACTACAACAACAGCGCAGCCTTCTCAAGGGAAGCTCGAAAGGCTAGTCCAGACCTCGTTAGATCCGGGTTATCTTATCACCGCATCGCCGACGAGGAAAGTTTCTCGATAAGAAATTTTGATGGATTAATTTTATTGGAGATACATATTTTATCAATTGCCTTATATTTTCAACCACAATATGGCACCATTAATTGTTGAATCAGAAATTATGGACTCAATTAAAGATCACAAGAAAGAGAGAAAGGAGAAGAAGGAAAAGAAAGAGAGCAAGAAGAGAAAGTCAAGCGCTATTACAGAACAACCAGTTTCCACCGAGTCAATGGATGTCGATACTGAGATGACAGGTGCTGATGAAAACACCCCAGCCGAATCTAAAAAGAAGCGCTCGAAGAAGGAGAAGAAAGATAAGAAAGAGGAACCAGTTGAAACTTTAGAGGAAACTGAAGAAGCAAACCCAACTGAAACTCAAGAAGAAGTCGAAGAAACAAATAATGATGAGACGTCCGAAGAACCACCAACCAAAAAACGCAAATCCTCCGTCGAAGAAATTGAAGTCGACATTACTCTCCCAGAACCTCCTTCGAAGAAAGCTCTCCGTCGTCTAAAGAAAGGCAAACCACTTCCCCCTTCCAAATCTGGCGCAGAATCCTCTCCCGAACCCGAAGCCAAAAAGAAGGCCGAAGTAGAAAAGCGTTCAGGTCATGGCGTGTGGGTTGGAAATTTACCTTGGAGTGTATCAAAAGAAGAGTTACGCAAATGGTTTGTGGAATTCTCGGATCTTGAGGAGGATCACATCACCAGAATCCATATGCCTGGTCCTAATGATGGAAAGCCTGCGAACAAGGTGGAGAAGAAGTTTGGAAAGCCCGTTCATAATAAGGGATTTGCTTATGTGGATTTTGCTACTGAGGAACAAGTCAAGCTGGCAGTTGAATTATCTGAACAATTGCTCACTGGTCGAAGACTTCTGATTAAAGATAACAAATCTTTTGAGGGTCGACCAGAAAAGAAGGAGGCTGTGATTGAAGGCAAACCACCCAGCAAGAAGATCTTTGTCGGCAATTTACGATTCGATGCTACGGAAGAAGTTATCAAGGAGCATTTTGAAAAGTGTGGAGCTATTGAGAAGATTCACGTTGCAACATTCGAAGATTCAGGAAAATGCAAAGGTTACGCTTGGGTTACATTCGAAGAAGTATCAGCTGCGCAGAGTGCAGTTAAAGGTTGGGTCTTGATCGAAGAAGATCTTTCCGACGCGGAATCCTCATCTGAGTACAGCGATTCCGATTCCGATTCCGATTCAGAAAATGAAGCCAAACCAAAAGCAGAGAAGTCTAAGAAACCGAAAACCAAAACGAGGAAATGGTGGGTAAACAAGATTCAAGGACGTCCTTTACGTATGGAATTTGCAGAGGACGATCAATTGAGATATAAGAAGCGATATGGCAAGGATGGATCCAAGAACCCCAACGAAAGACACCCACGCGAGGAACGTGAATCTGGTGGCAGAGTTGGAGCTAATGATGAGCCTGTTGTGCCGAGGGTTCCAGGAGAGAAGAGAGAGAGACCAGAGAGACCTGTCAAGAAGGTTGAGTACAGATCATCTTATGCACCACGTCTGACGGGTGGTATTGTAGAGAGTGAAGGAAAGAAAACTAAGTTGTAGTGGTAAAATGGTGTCTGCGGACGGGTTGGAGGATTGTAATGAAATATATTTGTGTATCAACTTTCCTCTCTTTCGCACTAAACTTCGACATACTCATTTCATCGTTTTATCTTTGGCCACTTACCATGGCATCGATTACCATAATTCGTTCTGCCGTGTCACCTATTCCCATCACTTCAGACGCATGACATTGGCACCACATTCCACTTCAAGAACACACTCATTCATGCAGCATAGATTTCACATTCACAGATTAAGTAAACCCCTTTCATTTATCTCACTCCTCAAACGCCCGCAATACTCTTAATGAAAACGATTACTATCTCTATCCTCCTATCCTCATCCGCGGTGTTGTCCAATATGACTCCCCTCTCATCCCTCATATCATATATGTCATTCTTCATGTAATCATCATCCCAAATCTCAATCCCACTCCCGCATTCATAACAAAAATACAACCTTCCCCCTTTCCCGAACTTCAGCTATGCTAAAGTGATTCGAGAAGCAGTACTCCATCTAAGCATATCCAGAGCCAATCCAATGTCCACTGCCCTCTCGCATACCAAGCTCGACCGATGGCCATTCAAAAAATCGTACATGTCAGTTTGATTCCCAAGAGAGTGTGGAGCTGACGAGTGAACTCGCATGCGTAGATATATATCCAGCCTGCGCAACTCTTTCTCCAACTCCACACTCTCCTCCTGGTATACCATTCTCCCGCATCCCAATCTTCCTACCCTATCCCCACATCCACCTTCGTCTCGCATGTACTCTACTGCAACCTTCCATCTCCCGCTTTCTCCCCATTAGCTTTTGGCTGAAAATAATCTACCATCTTCGCTGCTTGTTCCACGTGCGGAAGAGCTTGTGATCTATTCTGCATATTGAGGTTTCCATTCGAATACGCGTTACTGATTTCATTGCCGTTCGCTACTTGATTTAAATCTCCAGGAGTAGCTTGTGGTTGACTTCTAGACATCGCACTGCCCTTCACATTGGCATTCGTCTGTACCTTTCCACCAGAGCCCATGCTATTTCCCGCGGCCTGGCTATTCTGTCCATCTTGATTCAAATTATTCGAATCCCCAGTAGGCGGTACCTTAGCCCGACTCTTCCTGGGTCGACCTCTTGTCTTGGGCTTGACTTCCTGAGCATCACTTGAATTCTTCTTTGCGTTTGGATTTGAAGCCGGATCTTTCAACTCTCCATTATTTACATTGGAGTTCTGTGAACCTCCCCTTTTACCAGTTGTATTCCCTGTATTCTGTCGTTTAGCATCTGGGGTTCCAATAGCGGTAGACATCGAATTCGAAGCTTGTCGTTTGAGATTATTGGGATTTTGAGGATAGTTGAGTTGTGGTAGGGGCCTGCTATTTCCATTTTGTGCTTGTGCTTGGATCTTTCCTGGACTACTTTGTGAATATCTGCGAACCGGTTGTGGTGGTGGCGGCATTCTAGAACTTTCTCTAGAATCTTGTTCTCTCACTGCATTTTTCTGTTTTCGAAGTATGTCGTTGAGAATAGCTTCTTCACGCGGGTTTGTTTGCTGTCCTGGGATTCCAATCCTTGAAGCAGAAACTCCAGAAGCTTCTTCGAGTCGTTTCTTCTCAGCTTTTTCTCTTACATAAATTGCCTTTTGCTGTCTGCGTAAATAAGTGTCGACCATATGAGTCTTTTGTGATTCGGTAAGCTTTAGCATGGCCTCGGAGGATATCATTCCATGGTTCAGGATCTGCTGTAGCATAGAGTCTCTCTGTCTCTGTGAAATTGTGATCATTGGTCGACTTGGTGCCTTCTTCTGCTTTTGTCGACCTTGTTGATCTTCTTGCTGTTGCTGTTGCTTTTGCTGCTGAAGTCTTGCATTCAAGATGAGGGCTGCCTGTCTTTGGGCTGCCCGTGGATCAATGGTAGGATTTGGATTAAGACGAACAAGAAGAGGTTCAACCCTCTTATTCCATCCTCTAAGTTTCGCCTCGATACTTGTGACATACCAATTCGGCATTCCTATTAGTTCCATGCGTTTGATTGCCGTAACCCATCTTAAGTTCGTTAATTCATTTGTCAAATCAATAGAACCACCTCTAGTGGTAGCTATGTCTACGAAAATGGTTGCCACAATCATCTTTGTATCAAAACCATTAATTGACCTGGATTGAATTTGAACAGGAACGTAAAACTGTTGTCTGTCTTCTAAAGATTGCTCTCGTGCTAGCGCATTCAATTCTTCGAATGATAGAGTATAAAGAAAACCCAACACGGCGATTGGCATTTCCGACTCGTATTGCTCAATTCTTGTTGCAGGACTTGGGACAGGGCCCATTGGGATGTGCAATCTCTGATTATAAAAGCTCGGTCGGATGTTTGGTTTGCCTACAATTCATAGTCAGTGGTAATCGAAAACAGACATGCTCGAGCAGATTGTACTTTTTTCGTCGATGAACCATTCCCAATCTTTTAGACCACCGAGCGCAGAAAAATTACTGGAAGGAAACTTATCCTTGAATACTTGTTGTGATTCAGAGTAATCGTATTGTAATAATACTGCACTGGAACAGCCTCGAGCTTGACGACGAAATTCATTCTGATCATTCAGAAATTTAGAAAGCTGTTGGATCGACATGGCAAAAGTTGTGTTGGGTTTGAAAGCTACTCAGGTAGAAAGATTGACTTAAATAAAAGCAGGTTTTGAGTGCAAAGACGCAAGCAGAAATGAAGAAGATTGATAGAAAGCGAGTAGAAGCAGTGATTGGAAAAAGTTGTGTCGGATTCGCCTTTCAGGTGGTATTGAGAGAAAAATTCGATGAATCTTATAGTTTGGTTCAAGAAGCGGCTTTTCGCGGTCCTTGGTGGAAGAAAGTGGAAAGTGAATACTTTTTGAGCCATACAAATGAAAGTTGATACATCGAAGAGGCTTAGATGACCAATAGCAATGCAAATTTTAAAACAATAAATGCTTCGACATATCCAAGTGATGCTAAATTCTCACTCCCTGACAAGTTTTCATCGTCGCTACCCTAACATCGTCATGTTATCTTTTCCGAATTAAGATGTATTAATGACAAGGACAGTAAACACACTTTCATGTCCGAAAACTCCTCATCTGAAAGCTTTGTGATTTATTATCGGACGATACAATCTGGCTGAGAAGTTCTAGAGCGAACTCTCTCCTGCCACTTTCACTCAAAGTACGCTTTCCGACGTCTACGACATATTCTAGTGGCTTCAAATGCTCATGAGCAATAATGTCTGAGATCATGTCCAGCAGCTAGTACTGCAGTGATGATTCATTGCCATTCTTGTGGCCTTTGGGGAGAAAAAATTGGGAGGGATCCGTTAGCTGAACGAAGTCGTTGTGATATTAAATGAAGACTTTTGCAGACACACTTTCTCCACCAGAAAGCCACGGATGGCAAAGTTTGGTCATACTTGTGAAGAGAGGCCGAATATCTTATAGGCTTCGATATATCAGTCTCGAGGAGAGTGTCATGCTTCTCGATTCAGATGAGCGTTGAAAACCCCCTGACAGCTCTGGCATATTGAGGTATTTTTCGTTTATCTTGAACTCATACTAATAAGCCGACAACTGACAATCTAGTCCGTGGAGGACTATTATGGTCCTTTGAATTACGAGAATCTCCTGTCCTGCCTTCCAAGGGAAAAATGCAGCTCCTCGTGTTTCTTGATAAGATCTCAAGGCTTTTTGTGTGCATCCTGTACCTATTGGCGAGGGAAATAATCAAATAGTCCAATGCTCCCACTTTTAGAAGGTATGAATTGTCAATACAATACGCTTATTTGGAAATGTTCAACGAAGTACGTTTGTTATGTTGCACAAGTTCACGTGCAGCCTGCAGATTGCTGACACATAGCGTGCAGGCTCTACACCACGTATCTTTGATCCAACAGCCTTGAAGTCATACAATCACGAACAAGACGCCACAGAGTATCGAGGGCTGCACGATTGCCCCTGGACAAGCGAACGGTATTTGGTTGTGTTTTAGACGTTAACTGATGGATGGTCCCTTCAGCTTTAGCCATCAAACCTTCTACGGTACTGACGACAGAGTCAATATTTACATTTCAATTTTTGACGGGATGTGGGCTTCAGGATGGGATGTCTGGACCCCGAAGTAGTCAGACGGAGGAGAGAGAAGCTTCTGGAAACTGTATGTCGAAGAAATAATCCTTTTTATTAATAATCCTCGTTCCCTCGTTAAAATTGCTTTTCTACACCTAGAATAGTGGGATTCTAGACCCTGCCAGTACATAGGCTCTGGGTTATCTGCAGATTGCTGGATGAAAACAATCAAATAACGAATCTCATGCGCTTTATACCCAAACTTAACTCCGAATACAAGTACCATATCATCATGTTGTTTCCATTTTCAATGCCACATCAAAATCTATTCGATTCTGCTTTTGTTCTAGTGGCCTTGTCACATGCCAAGCTTCATGAACTAACTTATTGGTAAGAGTTATGAGACTACAATATCCTCATGGTCATTGATTGATCCCTCCATCTGTATTGCTGTTACCACCATGAACCGGTCTTGTAGTTGCACCTGGAGTAGCTGAAGATGGGTTGCTATTGCCGGGACGGGTCTGAGAGGGCGTAATGGAAGATGTACTGGGATTTATGGGATCGTCGTTGAGTTTGCTGTGTCTTTGAAGATCAGGAATTGGATTTGGCTTTGCCAATAAGAAGCCAGTAGTATCAAGAGACGGCTGTACACTCTGTCGAGCTTGACTGGGTGGAAGCACTGGCTGACTAGGGCCGCTTCCTAATGTAGGCTTGAAAGTATCAAATGAGTTTATGTCATGCGAATCAAGAGAGGAAACTCAAACCTCGAGAATATACAGAATCCGGTCTGGACCCGGGTTTTTTTCATGCTGGGTGACGTGTATAACGCCGGAATCCTATCATACTCATTAACTGCTTGTTGTCAGATGATTGGAAAGAGTATTCCCACGGGATCGTTCATAAAAGCATCACTAAGCGCCTGTGATGAATTGAATCATTAGCAAATTCTGCAATTATCATTCCGAACATTATGCACACCTTGGCCTCGATGATTTCTTCTCCTCCACGGAAATTCTTTATCTTGCTCTCCCAGTTTCCACGGTCCTTAGGATTTTCCTTCAGCCAGTCTTCACTCGGCTTAATCCAACTATCTTCGTTGACACCCTTTGGTATTTCCAACTGATCAAGCTTACGAAGATTCTCTTTTGTAATACCTAGTTTCACTTGCCCCCCTGAACTTACAGAACTTTCCCAGACCAGTTTACTCCTATTGTAGCGTTTGACAAATCCAGCAACAGTTTCGAAGTCTTTACTTCTTGGGGCAGACATAGTGGGTATGCCAGGAATGTAAGCAGCATTGCATCGAATGTTTGTGAAGACGCGTGTCTGGAAAGAATATTTCCGCTCCTGTGGCTGATCCATTATCGAAGTTCCAATATGAATAACTGATATATGAATTTATGATATGGGTTTGTATAATGCAATAATAAGATGGATTCTCGGCATCGCGAGATCATAACATATAGTCATCAACTATTCGAGAAAGGAGCAACCAAGACTGCAGATGAGATATTCTTTCAGAGGGAAAGAGTAGTGTAGTGCGAATAACTTTTCTTGGATTGCAGGAACGAAGTGCATAGATGTGGGCACATAAGTCAGGAGAAAATCAGAAAACCAGAAATGGAAGGGGGCGGATAGAACCATGGCTTGTGATCATCTCTGGAGAAGTAATATGGGCTTTGAGATTTTTGATTATTATTTGATATCAAGACTTTCTTCGATACTCGATTTGCATCAAATATAAAGCACCTCATTTTTGAATTGCGATCCGGACTCTAGAAAACTCAGGTACGAAATGTAATCAAATTTGGAGTTTTTGGAGAGGTCTCTGGAAGTTCTTGAATGATTCCATGGGCAGGGGACGTGTTCAAATCTTAAGTTGATTAGAGTTACATCCACTTCTATTGGTTTCCCAGTAGTAATTCTTTAGCAGCTGACGCGTTTCTATTTGTTATATTCAATGGCAGACAAGTTTAATAGTGTGTTCTTCATAAGCATTTATCTTCGGTCTCGGTGATCAGAAATCTCCATTCTATTCACCGCTCGTGTGGTTACAACATTGATTGAGGTCTTTCCCACATCTATGTTCAGGTCAAATCGTTCTATAACAGCAAATAGCACAGTAGTGGTAATATTTTCAATCCAGACTTCGGGTATTCAACATCAACATTCTCATATGATCAATTTATCGTCAGTCGTAACTTCTTTTGCTCAAAATGTCTGATTCATTACTAGCTAATTTCATCAATGCAGCAACTGCGTTTCGGAACAACGACGTGCTCAAAATTGGACCATAATCATTTGTAAACTAATAACTAAACCGGGAAAACGAAAACGTACACAGCAAGTATCCGACACAAATTCAATTGCAATTACCTAAAGATATCCGGCGCAAGACTTGGCAAGTGTGATATCAATCTTGTAGCTTGTAACCCTAGGCTCGTTATACAGTTACCATTCTCAATTCCCCATACCATCTTGAGTGTTCTCCTATTCAATTTCTTCATTCCGATTCCTGATATTAACCTAAGGCCCATTTTCCCCCTCAAGCGAACCCCAACCTGAATCTCTCATACATTGACTGACTTCTTTCTAACTCCGTTCAGCTCCTATTTTGGTCTCTAGAAGCTCGCTAGCTTGTATTCGATTTCTCATCTAGTTGCTTTCGTTGGCCAAGTTGGTGAGCGTGGGGCATGCTGCGCTCGCTCGTGAAGCATTCGATTATGTTCTCTTCCCTGACGGTCAAGTGGCTGGAGCTCCGCACGAGCAAACCCAGCACGATCTCCAACAGGATGATATATTGCACCGACAATTTTTTTATCAGGACCCGTAATCCCCCTCATGAAACCCACGTCATTGAATCTAGTCTCCGGCTCGAGCCTCGTCGCTCGCTCATGCGGAGGGACTGCTCGCGGCTCTACCTTTGCTCGGTTGTAGTCGAAAGAAGACTTGTCTGGCGTGGTGACAGGATACTCGTACAAAGGGACAGGTCCCGTTCTATTTGCGTTGATTCTTCGTTGAGGCAGTTCTCTGCTTTCGAAGAGAGGATAATGGTTTGGGCGTTGTCCTTCTCTATTACCGTACCTATGAGGCATATTGTTTATGTCGTTTCTTGGAAGAGTCGGGGGTGCTCGATGGATCTCGGCAACCACTACCTTGTGTGTAATATTACCACGCGGTGTGTGGTATTGCTGAGGATAAGGTAAGAAGGGATTGCTTGATTATAGGTTAGTGACTTACCAGATGATCCTTAGTATTATCAGAATTTCTTCTTCCGTAATCCATCTTGGGCTAAAAAAATCGTGTGACTGGATGTGTAGCCGAGGGTCTGATGTTCGTTAGTATCATATTTTCTATAAAAGGTCTAGAGATATATCCATACTATGAATGTGGTTTAATCAATTGCAGCTCAATGAAGAATCACCGTGATATTCCTGGAGTAAGGATTTGATCTTAGATGACAAAAGATTCGATAAGTAATGGAAACCGTGCAGTAATCAGCCAGCTGATAATAAGAAATTTATGGATTTGGACATTTAAACGAGGCCTCACTCATCATTCTTATAGCTTCATTTCTTGTACACTCAATTGCCTATCCAAAGATTAAGATTTCATATGAACATGGCTGTGGGTCGGCATCAATACCCGTAACCGATATAGCAATGCTACTCTCATCAAATCATTCGCTTTTAATGATGCTTTCTGACACCTCTGCCTGCAAAAATAGAATACCTAGTCTGCTACTGGCAATTGCTAGGACCCTTGACATTTTTCTTACCTGTTCCTACAGCTCGAAGATACCAACTCATGTACCACGCTTAGGCCCCGCCCGCATATGATACTTCATGGCATGATACTGTAAGCGCTTTAGACGCTTCCATGGCAAAATGTAACTGTCTTCATGAAAATAGCTAGCGATGTTTCGAACAGCAAGTTCAAATTTGTAAAACAATCGGAAGACAGACGATAATCAGTCACTTTCTTGGCCTTCTTATCTTACCAATGTGCCGGTACCGCTGGGTACCCAATCTATGGTCTATTTTTAGGACTCCAATACTTATCAGATTCCAGATCACGAGTGATATTCTCTGAATGATATCAAAGGCTAAGCGCTGTCGGGTAAGATCCTGGTACCATTTTAAATCTCTGGTGGGAAATTAACGATATTCCAGAACCCGCCTCGGTCATGCACCCAAGTCGTCGTATTTACCAAACTGTCGGTACCGCCGTGTGACTAATGGCTGCAGGAGCGTCTAGGACGTTCGTTTCGCGTTTTTTTGGAATTTGGGAGACTAATCTGCGTGATTGGATAGGAGATCGAATTTATCCGCACGATGTAACATCGTGCCAAAATGCCGACAGTGTGCTTACACGTGAGGGGGTACGTTTCAGCGCATATTAGGATTAGAAGGGTGCTTATAAATACACCCCGCTTTATTGCTCAAGTCACCCCGTGATATGCAAAGCGGCGCAGTCCTTCATTCAAACGAACATAGGTAAAGTGAATTTTATAAAACTGACGACCCCCCCTCGCTACCGTAAGTTCATTCAACCATTGAGATATTTACCAACAGCATTTATTTGTTCCAGGGTAAGATATATTATCTCCATCCAGCACAACATCAGTCATTATCTAGCATGGCTTCTGGTACGGAAATCCAGCCTTCATGGCTTACCTTCCTCATTAAACAAGCCTCGATACCATCTGGCAAGGAGTTCGTTCCAAAAGTTTTAAACATCTTCATAGACTTTCTCCTCTCCGAGAACGATGATGCTGCTGCGAAAGCCGCCAAAAAAATTGACGATTCTACGCGGGACTCTCTATTTTTTGTGTTCCAAACAATATACGACTTAGCGGCACTTATACCATACGAGGATCGTAAACAAGACATGTTGTTACAGCTTATAGTTGAGCTTCTGAAACTCCCAAGGAAAACTTTCAAGGGTGCCGACGGCAAAGTGAGCAAAGACTTAGTGGGTCCAAATTAGATGCATACTGATATAATGAGCGATAGATTGTCGAGGAGAGCCCTACTTATCATGATCTTAATATAGAAGTCAAGCACGATATGTGGAATGCGAGAAACGGTACGTCAAACATCTCTTTGATATACATTGAGCTAACCTTGCGCAGTGGATGAGCTTGATTTGGATGTGAAAACCCAAGATGAGTATACTCAATCGTGTATTGAGTGGGTCAATCTCTCCGCATTCTATGCTCGCTGCATTGCTGCGAATATTGATGATCACGATAAGAACGCGTGCAAATTCCCCGATATTGAGATTCGTGAAGCTTTGGAGCCGGATTACGATCCTACACCGGGAATTGATACAGATTTTAGGGTTGCGATAGCAACTCGATATATCATCGTCGCTGGAGAGAAGATTAGGGAGGAAAACTTTAAATGGTGGGATGAACATGTTCCGATTTGGGAAAGGAAGTTGGAGGAATTTGAACGTAGTTATGAGAATGGCTTCCCCGAATTCACCCCTCGTTTTGAGACACCACCTGGCGAGAAAGAACTCATCGGCACAGGAGATTTGGGAATGGATATCCTAGCATCTGTGAAAGCTGCGAGGAAGAAGTTGAAGGATATGCGAGGAGTCCTTGAGCAGGAAAGCAATGAAGACCTGACTGAGAAGAAGGATGAATAAGTCACGAGATAGACTCGGCTCATTAATAGAAGTGAAGAAAAATTCTTTGAGTGCATCGATGCTTTGAGAAGATTTTTTTGGATACTGGCAATAACTACTTGAAAAAAATTAATCTATTTACAAGAAGTATTTGTGAGAGGCTAGAAACATAAAGCTAATTTCTGAATCATAAAGGTATCATTAAACATTCATCTACACCGTTTTTTTATCGACAATTTAAGCAACAGCACTTCCTGCGAAAGCCTCACTGATCTCAGTAGAGTTCTTCTCCAATGCCAACAAAATGCCGAGCAAAACCTTCGACTTTTGAGGGTTCAAGTATCCAGATGCGATATGCAAGGCTGTCTCACTGCTGATATCAGAGAGAGGAACTTCTCCATTTGGAGCACGAGTGCTTTGAACGATGGGGATGTTCAATCTGTTGATGACATCTTCCATGGCGTAGTTGAAGGATGTGCTTACACCTCCTGCACCGGCACCGGCAATCTAGTAAAGATGTTAGTTTGAATGTTTGCGGTGAAGAAGATAAAAGGGGAACTTACAACTATGCCCTTGGCCCCGCTAGAAACAGCATTGTATAGGGTATCGTTATGCATATCTTGATTTGCGAACAAGATATCCACTCGAGGGATCTCGGTTACATTCGAGATATCGTATGCAATCTTTCCAGTGGGTTCAACCGGTGGGTAGAAGAAATAAGGAGTATTTGAGATGAGAGTACCCAAGTTACCCATCTCGATGGCCTTGAATGTGTCCATAGTATTGGCGTTTGTCTTGGTAACATAGTATGCGGAAACAATACGATCATTGAGAACAACCAAAGCTCCGCGACCAGCTGCTTTGGGACTTACACCCACAGTAATAGCTTCGAGAAGATTGAAAGGTCCATCTGCTGAAATAGCGGTGGAGGGACGCATGGATCCAACGATGACGACCGGTTTTCCACAGTTGACTGTGGCATCCATGAAGAAGGCGGTCTCTTCTAATGTATCTGTACCGTGGGTAATGACTGCACCACTCATGGTATCATCGTCGCAAATTACCTCGTTGATTTGCTTTGAGAGGTCGAGGAGAATGCTGGAGGTCACATCTTCACTACCGACGTTGGAGATCTGTACTCCAGCAACGTTGGAGACGTTAAGGACTTCTGGAACTGCGTCGAGGAGAGTTAGAATTCCCACGGCACCTGCTGTATATCCAGTCGTTGCTGTGTTACTGCTGCTAGAGCCTGCAATTGTACCACCTATATTGAGTTAGTATATATTTTAAGAAATTGGCTGAGGGATTGCCATACCAGTTGCGAAAACAGTGATATTTGGTAGGCTTGCATTCATCTGAGTGAAGTTAAGTCCATTGGAGTTGGTGAAGACAAATGGACTTGTATCACGCTGGTAAACCACTGGGGAAGCAGAGGCAAATGCTGCGAGGGCGGTAACAGACAAGAAACGTGAGAACATGATGAATTGGAGGATGTTCTTCTGGATATGGAAGGATGAGGTAGGTACTGACTACAAAAGGAAAACAATGAGCTCTTTATACTCATCGCCAATACATCACGATATCTCACCGGGTAGAATACTCTTACTGGCCGCCAAGTATTTTACATGATAGTTTAGTGCATCATTGCCAGACTTAGCTACCAAGTGTTTATCTTTATCAAACTACTCCTCCAATGCCAATTACATTATCAAATCATGCGTCCGATCATTATCCAACCGGTATCGCTGGGATACGAATTGGCTCTCGGTCGTAGAAAAAAAAGGCTCATTGTATTAATCGTGGGGTTGGTACCTGGTCCTGATGTTCAGGGAAAACGAAGGAGAGTGGAACAGTGGAATGCGGGTAGATAGTCTAGTGACTAGCGGAGAGGGGCATTTTCAGGGGATAAGCCAACAACTCACTCAACTACCGACGAATAACCTTGCCAAGTCAATCTTCCCTATCGGATCTCGGACGTCCCTAGAATATCCGGCGCACGATCCATGATGGTGGGCGGGGCGGTATCCTTCTCAACCTTGATATTCAGGCTCTTGGTCATCGCTTCCCGTTGCACGCATTGATCTCGCTTCTTCGACAGTGTACGATCAGACGCGATCATCCAAACTTTACATCTGGGGGTGAGGGAAAAGGACGGAAAGATGTGGAGAATCGCCAATATGCTGTACTAACATTTAATACTTTTACATCGGCAGACGTGTCGGTGTTCAAATTGAATTTCTCAGATGTCATCGGAGTCCTATCGTTTTGAGAAAACAACCATAGTTGGGGCCATGCTTATCCTCATGAGCTTCAATGAGAACCCGGAACGGTTAGATAACGCATAGCTTTGCCGTGTCCTTATCGAGATTGGTAATCATTCTGTGAGGAATTCGAAGTCCTATCATGATACCAACGAAATAACATATTGGTCAGTAGAATAATAATCGGTTCATTGTTAGGCTGAAAGTGGGAGTGAGAATGAAATTCTTATCGTGCCAATAGCGTGGCTTGCTTAGGGGAATTAAAGATGGAGCTAGATAAAGAATATAAGCCACCATATGAACTATATGAGAATGAAGATACCTCATCCCAACATCCAAGGTTGATACTTTTGGATTGTTGAAGCTTCAATTTATATTATGTAATGCCGCTCTAAAGACTCGGGATCCAAGATGCTTCCAGACAAATTTGATAATCTGCCAATACTTAACCCAATTTGAACAGGCTAGGCAAATATAAATGACGATAATTGATGAGGCTGTACTACTCATGATTCGTGAGTAGATGTGTCTTGGCCGAGAAAAAATCTTCTGGGCGAGGGTGCCTCAAAGAAGAGTAGTGTTTGGAGCAATAGAATAGTTTCGAGTCGACTTTTCTTTTCGACCTGAGATGACAAGCTTCACATCTGATGATAAGAGCTTTATGTACGGTGCAGTACACGTCGTAAGGACCTGAGCTGTGCTGGTTGCATCTTTTGTCGACGTAAGCTTAGCTGGTCGCGTTCCCAATCAAGAATAATGCAGTTCTATAATCTAGCTGTTTGCTTTGATCATTTCGTAGTTTGGCGTGTATCAAGAATAGTGGTGTAAGAAACGTCAGAACTGAAGTGGGTGATGGCATGTTGTTGAGGAAAGTTATTGATTTTCATTGGATTAGTCATCCGTGTACCACCTCGCCGACGACATTGAAAGTTCACTGGGGGAAAATACTGCGTGAATTTAGCATGAAATCAGGGTCAGCAAACTGGACTATTGAAGACATTTCTCAAAATTGGTACGATGACACTGATCAAGAGCTTTGTGTTTCACACGGTCAAAAAGCGATTGTGGATTTGAAAATATCTTTTTATGTCTGCAGATTTCTGCCCTAGCAGATGGATGGAGAACGACCGTCTGCAATCTAGTCTTTCACCAAAGATTCTATCCCTTGAAGCAAACGGCCACGAATGATGTCCCTTATTCCTGGATTTGAATGCACCATCCTTGGTACCTTTCAACTGTGATATCATTTGCTTCCACGACTCAGGCCTATTTATCGAAGAAAGACGAACAAATCCATGTGCAGAAGCTGCATAAGTAATCTCCATCCCCGTATCTCTGTCTCGGCTCCATACCCAATTAGCAAGAATTAGTATAAATCCCAGTACTCAATCTCAAGAATGAACTCGTACCAATCTTTTATCTTGACCTGTACTTTTTCCTCGGGAACGCCATTTCGATTCGCGGAACTTTCGCTTCTGGATGCATCTCTTTCCACTTCTCGAAACCACTGCGAATATCATTAATCGTGTTCTCATAATACTTCTCCCCGATATTGCTCCAGTGCTTCCACTTGAACAACGGATGCTTGCCGAACTCTTGTATCGTCGTTACCAACCTCATCTCAGGGTATGATCGAGCTGTCTTGTTGATCGTATCCCTTCCAACCACATAAGCAACAGATTCGACTGAAGGATTGATGTAGAGGAAATGTTCGTAAATATACTTCCAGAGTCCAAATCCAAATTCTGGTGAGAGAGCCAATGGGTCATATCTGGGATTGTGCGGCGTAGGTGATCTGTGTGGAGCATAACATTCTCGACCAGCTACAAAGGCGATGTGACGAGCTTGAGAGAGCAAGTTATTCTCTGTGCTACAACAGCGGATTTGTAGAAGTAAAAGGTGATCGGCGCATGTGTATACAAGTGTATCCTTTATTGGGTTGTAGAACGAAGGGTATGTTTCGCTACTGGCCCCCACATGAGAACAGGTGAGATTGTGAAGGTATAGTTGCTTGTAGTGTTTAAGATAAACCTCGCGAGAATCGAGACAGGCGTAGTATAGCGCTGAGGGCTTTGGTGGTTCGAATGGCCCATAAGAATCATGGTAGACGAGTTGTCCTTCTGGAAGCGCTTGGAACCAAATTTCAAGCTGTATCTCTTTAGGAAAGTTCGTAAAGTCCGTAAAGCACAAAGCTATGTTGGCTTGGGGCTTTGATGAAGCCATCGTACACCAATGTTGTTGTTGATGTCCTTTTCCTTGCTGATGGAAGCTCAAAGAAGTCAAAGAATGGTATATCTTAAGAGCTGTTTATTTTTCTTCGATAATAAACAATCTCGGCTCGGAACGGGTATTTCCGACTGTCTTTGGCCAGATACTGTTAGATTTGATTTTTATTTGCTCAACCGAGTATGTCTATAAAGCTACTTTGAATTATCCTCAGTTATGAATTAGCTAATCATGAAACTACCACAACAAATTCTCAGATTTATTCAAGATCTTCAAGAGTCCGTGAGAAGATTTTTTACAAATCGAAAACAATTATCCATTTTTTCTTGGGGAAAGGGCTGCACACTTGTCTGATAATACATCATCGTAAAAGTGTGGTTTTGATTTTGGAACCTCTGCCAGACACAAGTCCCTCCCAGATTTCTCAGAAGTCAGGACTGGCGGACTGAACGAGAGACTCTATGTTTCAAAGCAGTTCACTACTCGAGATTGATGCAATATTTCAATCCATTCGAAGATTGAAAAGGGCACCAGAGGTGTGAGGCACCTCATTATCAGACTGCAACTGGGAACCACTGGGAGCCCTGGCACATTTCCCTAATCGTAGAAAGTAAGAGTGTAGACGAGTATCTTCGTAGACTCTGAAGAGTCTGTAATGCGCACATCCAAATATATCATAGGCGCCACTACATAGCAAAATGTGTTAGATTGTCTACTTCATACCACAACAAACGATGAGTTAGTTCATTTGGGCGAGCATTTCGATATTTAGTTCTGACAAGAGCAGCGATCTGGCAAAGCCATCTCAATGATGGTGAATGGAATAGTTTATATCACATCTTGTAATCTGATGGAGAACCGGGCTGATTCAGTGTGTCGACACTCAACTTATCCTGAACACTAACAGGGCATGTTTCACTGGACGTTGGCCTACTTCAAAAAACCATAAATAATCACTAGAGTCATATGATGCCAAGAAACTGACCGCGGCAATATTTTCCGGACTTCTGTTCAAGATTACAAGTATCTGGTAATGGATACTGGGAAAAGATTATTACCTGAAGCGCATATACATGTATGGGGCGTGAAAACCCTAGGATTATACCATGTGCAACTCCATTGTAGCAACCAATCGTCGATTATTTAGGATATTTCATACCGCCGGGTAAAGGTGCCGAACCTTGCAGATGTGCTTATTTTTGGAATCCCATCTCGGCGGCTATTTCGAGATGCTCAGCTACCGTCAATCCCTGCTTGTACGGCTATCTAAATCGCAATTGGGGCGTTTTGAATTACAAGGGGAACACTTCGAAATACTTTTGTGATTCGCTCGTATATTTTTTGACTTCATCGACTTGGTTCTCATGACCCTGGTGGAGATCTTTCCCACGACTCGACTATCGTATCTTCAAACAGTATACGCCTCAGCTCATATCTTGGCCAGCATATTGAGTGGTTATTTTCCCATCTAGTGATGAGATGAGAGAAAGCCCATTTTATCTTCATCAATTAAGCTTAAACCAATCTGAGGTATGGCGTAAACACTTGACAAAAATGTAAATGCTTGGCATTTGTCTTTCATTCGTTTATGAGGTACATTGAGATGCCAAGTTACCCAGTATATTGAAACTAAGACGGAAAGTAAGTCTTAGTTTTATCCCTTCATTGATTGAATGATTCCATTGGGGGTTTTCATTTTGAAATCTTGAGGTTGAAGCCGCCCCGGCACCAGGATCAGCGCCTCCAAGTGCCAGTTCGAGGCAAATTTTCGAGGTCTGCTCAATCTGAATGGCATGTAGTCTCACAATAAGCCGATAATCAGGCCGCTTGTGGATAGTTAGCTATCGATTTATCATACAAAACAAATGCTCCGTCTAGAGTTTACGCTCTTTCAACATTTAATTTAAACCCCATATTTTCAGATCCACATTCGTATTCCTGGCACCTTTTATCCAATAAAGACATCGCTTAAACGGTTCACGAATGCTCAG